ACTGGAAGTAATGGTGAAATTTTCAAACATATGCTTTAATCTGAAGTCGGAATGCTTATGTTCCTGTTTTCTGCAGTGGGTTGTCTTAAATTATCAACAAGGAGATCTGAAAATTCCAACAAAAGCTGCAGCTCTTCTTGTTCTCATTGGTATTTTCCATATCAGCAGCACAACCAGCAAGGCATAAATAGTGTTTCTGTGCTACTTTTGAGTCATAAGGAAGATCTATCTTTTGATTAGAATGCCAAGCACCTTTAACAGGCATGTACTTTATTGTTGTATGATAGGAGTGCTGTAGAATTCCTCATTAATAGACTCTTTTTCCCCATACAGCTCAGTATCAGCATTAAATGTACATGGCCAAGCTTAAACAAAAGCCTGTCTGCTCTAGTAGCTTTCAGGCACTGATCATCTGCCTCTTCCCTAATTGCCTTACCCTACTTACAATTGCTTCTCCTTGCCTTTCCTTACTCTTCCCTCCCACCCTCCATGAATGATACGAAGATTTATCTCTGGCCTTAACACTTCTAGAAGTTATGGGATGTTTTAGGAATGGTATGAAGCAGATGTACAGTTATACTGCCTGCCTAGTGGTGAACAACAGCAAAATGAGTTTCTGTTCTTACTATCATGATGCAGAATTTCAAAGCAAATTCAGACATATTTGCCTAGCAATATTTGGGTAACTACTATATAATGAATCTGCTTTCTTTAATTTAGAAGCAGCATAACTCTCTTGATCTTCATATGTTCAGTCTTGAAATAGTTATGTAGCATTGAAATGAAGAGATGAAATGGATCAAGGAACAAATATCTCTTTTTGTAAAGAAGAGAAATGTACTTGTTAGTTCTGCAGCAGAAAGGACAAAAACCAAGCGTGATTCATTGGAAAAAGAAGTATTTTGGTGAGGAGACTAAAGGGAGTGCTCAGCAGTAAGAAGCCACAATTGCAGGAAGGAAGGAAGGAAGATTTATATTAAATGCTTAGAATTAACAAACAGATGTTGTTGCAGTAATAAGTTATGTAGGAGTATAAGTTGTAGTGTACGTCTTGCATACCTGGTAAGCTCTGATAGGTAGGCTAAACAGGGAATAACAGAAGCCAGAACACACATACAGCTCTGTGTCACAGTTTTGTGGATGTACATCATTTCAATATAGGCAGTGTTCTATCTTATAAGTAGAAGGGAAGTGTGCTACAAGTAATTTTTGGGAAAGGGGTCTGTTTGTTAATTCCTCTCTATATCTTTGGATACCATTTTTGGTTAACATGGAATCCTTATAATGAGAGAATGCTACACATGCCAGAATAACAACAACAGGAATAGCTGGATATAAAAGAAGTAATGGTTATTTGTTTAATAAAACATTTCAGATCAGACACATGAGAAATCACAAACCACTGAGAATGGAATTAAGCAAAAGAAAGTACCTCTGCTGTGCATAGTACTTCAGCACAATTTGAAATTCCAGCCGAATCTGGAATCCTATTCATCCAGATTTTTGGGGGGTTTATAGTTTTCAAACATTTGATAGGCTGAATAATAACCAGTGTAAACCAAGATGCTGTTATGGCCTGAGTGATCTTATCCCCCTAGAAAGTCTCATCTGCTCTCTTGCTACAGAAATTTCAGGTCTGTTTTAACCAGCTGATTTGTTAGTCATCTAGGTCTGCTTTTGTTGTAATGTTTAACTTACGTTTAACATCCTTCATGTTTTTTTTCTTTTGCTTATATTTTAATGATACTAATAGAACTGAGGCCACATTTTAGTCTTGCATCTGAAAGTGATACAGCCGATCAAGATGATGTAGAAGTTGAAGATCAAGATGAGCAGCCCCAGAATCAAACCACCCAACAGCCTTGCATTGTCATGGAAGATGCAGTAGCTACCTCAGGTGTAAGCACGCTCAGCTCTACTGTTTCCCATGACTCCCAGGCTGCTCACAGATCACTTAGTGTCCAGCTGGGCAGGCTAAAATTAGAGACAAACAGGTAAGTTTGGACATCAGGAGACACTACTGTCTACTTGTGTCTGCTACTTGTGACAATATATTTGCTTAGCTTTTAAAATATATGTGCTAGAATACCAGTGACAGTATCAAAATTCCATAGTACTGCAAGTTGTTCATTTAAATGATGATCGCTGTTTAGCTGTGACTGATCACTTCTGTTAGTTTTATTTATTTCAAAACGATAGTGATGCAAGTTAAGGTCAGTCTTGATTTCAGGTGCCTTCCAAGGAAGGTTTGAAAAAATTGAGCTTGCTGCCAAGCTTCTGTTTTTTCTCTCCTTTGTATGCTGTGTATGGCTGATGAATGGTATTATGTTTTCTTTCCATTAAGGCAGAACTTGCTGTTCTTTTCTAAAGTTATTCTTGGGGAATGAACTCAAGATACTTGACAGCCACATATGAACTCTACCAGGAAACTACTGTAGACTTGCTTTATGCACAGCATTCACTGCAGCAGTGAATTTTACTTTTTTTTTTTCCCAGAAAGATGGGGAAAAACATACATTATGTTAAAAAAAAAAAAAAAAAAGAAAAGAAAGAGAAATAAGCCAGAAGTTTGGATGTTGATTTTTTATTTTTTTCCCCCCAGAAATACACACATTCCACTTTAAACCTGAGAAGTGGTTCTTTTGGGTTTTTTGTTTAAGTAATGTCAGAGACAAATTTTTCTTCATTCTTTTATCCAAATAATCTTTTATATATTTTGTTTTCATTAAAATATACCAGATAGTCTGTTTGAAGTAGATATTCTAGCTTTTGCAGTATCCTATTTATGGCACTGGGTTTCCTACTGACCTCACTAAATTTTGAATATGACCATGATAGAAAGAGAACATGTCTTCAGTAAGACAGTTGTCATGCTTCTAGAATGTTCTTTGTAGTTACTGTTCCAATTGGAATTAAAATGTTAAATTGCACTTTACTTTTAAATGTGCCCAAGAATTTTGCCATAGTTAAAGTAATTCATTAGACTGTGCTAGTCTTAATAAAGTATCAGTATTTTTGAGGTTTTTGTGTTACAATTCATATTTTGCCTGTCAGAGATATTTTGATTGCCTTACTGATACACTGAAATAAACACAGAAATAATTTAGATTGGTTCACTTCCCAAGTTCATGATGGGGAGTTGCATTAGAAGTGATCCATTTGTAGAGGATTTTCTAGTACTTTGTTTTTGTAAATTTCTTGAATGCAAAGCCTTTGGCCAAATAATCACATCCTGTTACTCATGCAGAAATTTTGAGGTAAATAATATGAGCAGTCGTTTAAGTATTAATTAAAGCTTTATTGGCATAATCAGCAAGCAGTTGTCAAGAGAAAATAGCTGATTACTTTATTGGCCCCAAATGACTTTTTCAGTCAGAATGGATGGAGGCAACAATTAACAGAAAGGTGAGTGCACATCCGTCTGGACAGAATTTCAATCTGCACTGAGATTAACTGAGCTGGGGGTGTGTGTAGAGGCACAAAGCAGCTCTGTGGACTTGTTAAGAATTGTTAGCTCAGGTGCAGAAGCATTCAAATGTAACTGTGCTGCTGGTAGACCTGTATGCAAGCTAAAGGTAGGGCTGGATGTTTATACAAAGCGATCATATAGGATGGAATTTACTTCTGTGCAGACAGTTGGGGAGTTTTTGTGGCACATTCTTTAGCTGAATTCCAGAATGTCTCCACTTTTCAGTGTCCCAGAAAAAAAAGTTGCAGTGCTTATTTCTGCTTGACATTCTCAAAAATAACTGCTTAAGGGAGGACACAAGGTATTTTGCCTTCTCTTTTCTCACTTTTCATATAGCATAGAAGGGTAGGCACTAAGTGCCTGGTATGTGAGGAGGGGACATCCCTTGTGTGCATGAGAATATATTTTCCCAATTTAAGAAATGCAGCCACAAGTTTTCAGCACATTTTCATCACAGGTCCAGCCTTGCCATACCTTTGAAAATGTCTTCTGGAGAGATGTGAAACTGGCATTTTTCCGTACCGAAGATCATGTCACAAAATTTAGCCCTTGGTTTATGAAACACTTCAATATTTGTTCTTCTCAGTTACAGTTTTGTTTAAAACAGAATTCTGGCCATAGAAATTTCTCTGAAATTTCGTACCATGCCACCTGTTTAGTGGGTGGATGAGTATATGGAGGCTGGTGTGTTTGGGGCTTTTTGTTTTGTTTTCTTTTTTAAAGAGCTGTAGCTTTTGGAATCAGTGAATGTTTATGCCTTGACATAGCTCTTAATAAATCTATAGCGAGACAATACTCCAATGAAAGTTGAAGAAGTCTGTCCTTGTCTCTGTCAAGAAGGTTTCCAGCTTAAGTGTATTAAGATCTTCAGTTTCCTGAAAATTTGAAACTATATAAGGAAATGTGTGCTTCCTTTCCATTATTTCATAGGTTATTGGAGGAGTTGGTTCAAAAAGAGAGAGAATTTCAAGTCCTCTTACATCAAGCTATAGAAGAAAAAGATCAAGAAATTAGAAACCTACGGCTTAGGTCACAGCCAATAGGTAAGTGAAAAGAATTTTCAAGGGCAAGTTTCATACTGGCTACAGATGAAGATAGGGGCAGCTAAACCGTTCTTTTTACTGAGCTAGTCCCAGCAAGGATGCTTTATTATGCTGCTTCTGGTAGGGTTTGCTTTGAAGTAAGAATGTACATTGTAGGAACAAATTACTGAATTTGTTAGTCACAGTACAAGGAATGGTATGATTTAAATACTTGTTATTGTGGTTATATGGAAGAGTAGAAGGCTTATATCCTACGGAATAAATATTATTTCTAAAGAGGATAACCGAGTATGTTCAGGTATACGTTCTTTGAATTACAGACTCTTCCAATTGCTACACTGAAAGTTCAAGAGGATTTAATTGGTGAAATGTAAATACAGCTTAAGGCTTACTGAGGGAAGTTACTTGACATATATCTGCCCTGAAGAAGGTGGAAGTGCTAATGTTTCAATATAATATGCTTCAAAGGAGTGTTTTCCAAAAGCAGCTGATCCTCAGTCTAGGGCATTGCCTATGCACCAATTGTATGAGTTAACACTGAACACTTCAGATAAATTGATGCAACAATGTTAGTGTAGAAACAGTTATAGTGTGATTGATGTGCCTTGTACAGATAAAATAATTTTCTGAAGAGGACAAAAACCCCCGGTCTGTATCAATGCTCACACTATTTTAACTGCACCCCTAATCAAGTAGAGTAATTGGTGCATAACTTAATTACAGTAATTGTGTGCCTTGGGAATTGACATTTATCTTAATTTATGGAGATACTGGTATTTTAAGCTTGAAGGGAAAGCTCACTGAAGAAAGTGCTTCAGCAGTCAAAAATGACAAGAGGTTGCTTTGGCAACACAAAACCTTTTTTTAAAAATGCTTATTCTAGATATTCCTGGCTTGTCTCTCTGTCATCGTCATTCCACTGGCACAAGGACCGAAGACCCTGATCTCATAAGCTGGCTGACTGTTCAAGGAGCTGATGAGGCCACGATAAACAAGGTAGCAATGATTCTGTTTACTCTGACACAGTTGCAGTACTGTGTTGTGACTTGATGCAAGAAGATACCAAACCTTTTTGATTACTTTAGCACATTTTGAGAGATTAATTTGTTTTCAGAGGATACAAAAAAGCCATGAATATGAAGGCCTTCATAAAAATAGAATACTGTTAATAATTCCTGTATCTGAATAAGAGAATAAAATTACAGTATAGTTTTGTCATAGAATCATAGGATGATTTGGGTTGGAAGGGACCTTGAAGATCATCTAGTTCATCTAGTTCCAACCCCCCTACCATGGGGGTTCTAGTCTTCCACTAGACTGGGTTGCTCAAAACCCCATCCAATCTGGCATTGAACACTGCCAGAGACGAGGCACCCACTGCTTCTCTGGGCAAATCTGTTTCAGTGCCTCACCACCCTAACAGTGAAGCATTTCCTTGGTTCATAATTTTTCAGTGTTTTTACACATTGCAGCAGTTCCTGCTG